TCTACCCTTCTTCTCCTGCCCAGGCACTATGCTGCTGTCAAACTACATTACTCAAAACTCCTTAATTATCTTACACCATAATGGAAGAATCAGAAGGCCTACCTTCCAAACCTCGCCCGTCATGACCCTAGCAAGGTCATTTAATATCTAGCCTTGGTTTCTTCGTCTATAAAGATAAAGGGTTTATCATCTCTAAGGTCTAGCTATAAATCCTGTGATCCGTCTTTCCTATTTCTGTGCCCTTTTTTTGACCCAATTTTTTTTTTAATGTCTTAGATAGCCTTACCTTGATCTAATCTGTTGAAATCCTTCCAGTTTTCCAAGGCCTGGGTCAAATAACATCCTTTCCATGAAGCCTCCCTCTTCCCTGCTGCCAGAAGTTATCTTCCCTTCTGCATCATCCCAGTAGCAGCTCTGTCATTCCTTTCCTTTCTCTTTTTTTTTTAGGCAATTGGGGTTAAGTGACTTGTCCAGGGTCACACAGCTAGTAAGTGTGTCAAGTGTTTGGTCTGAGGCCAGATTTGAACTCAGGTCCTCCTAACTTCATGGCCGGTGCTCTATCCACTATGCTACCTAGCTGCCCCTGTCATTCCTTTCTTATGATCACTTTCTGCTTTGTATTATAGTCACTTGCATATTGGGCCAAAATCAGTGCCGTTCAGGAGCCAACTGGTATCAGCAGTGAAAGCCAGCTGTTAAATTTTCAGTGTGAACATTTACACTTGGAAATTGGCAAACACTACAAATCAGAGCTTGTGTTTTATTGATTTTCTAGACTAAAAGTGATGAAGAAAATGTTAATAATGCAGATTAAACATAAAGTGTGTTGTGTGTATATTTTTTTCAGAGAATTGATGGTTAAACCTTTACCAGCACATCTCCGCAAAATTCTTTCCAAACAGTAGCTTGTAAGCCCCCAGTGACTTTTTACCAGTCAGTTACAGTAACAATTAATAACAAAGGTAGTTTAATTAAATAACAGTATAAATAAATTTAATTAAATGACAGTGAGATTTTATATTTGATCCTGGAGGTAATAGAGAGTTTATTAAGGGAGGAGATGGAGGGAGACATGGTGAGAGCTGTCCTTTAGGAAGATCACTTTGGTAGTTGAGATTTAAAGGAAGCCAGAGGAGCCAGGAGGCAGAGATGAAGAAAATGCCCTGAGTTGGGAGACAGAGAATCTTGTTTGAGGAAGAACAAAGAGGTCAGTGTCATTGAATCATAAAATATAGGTGGTGGGGATGATATAAAGAGTAAAAAGGCTAGAAAGGTGGGAGAGGCAGGTTATGAAGGGCTTGGAATGGTAAATAGAGCATTTTATATTTGACCTTAGAGTCGATAAGGAGTCACTGTGAAACACAGGGAACATATGTGTACACAACACCTATATGAAGGGATGCACAGGTAGAAAATAAATGTGACCAGAGTATAATTATGAAGAGTTAACTCATGACTCTCACACTGGATAGCTGCTATCTCCTACTGATATTGCTTTCCTTTGCTTCCTCAAAAGGCATTTTTCTCTGATCCAGGTAATGTCAACTGATTATTTTCAGATTCATCTAATAATAACAGGTAGCATATCTCTACTTTCTACATATATATGTATGTATATATATATATACACATACATATATATATATATATATATACAGTGCTATAGTGCTTTATGGTTTGCAAAGCACTTAATATGTTATCTTATTTGATTCTCACAACAACCTGGAAGGTAGGTGCTATTATTATTACTGTAAACTGAAGTAGAAGTTAAATTACTTCCCTAAATTCACCTAGTGTCTCAGGCTGGATTTGAACTCAGACTGTCCTGCCCCTATAAGTCTAGCACTCTATCTACTAATCTAGCTGTGTACTATCTATTCTGTACAATATCTTCTGGGGATGCTGTTGTTACAGTTCTTTCAACAGATCTTTTAGTCACCTCTGCCATGGTAGGGTACTATAATTAGCCTCTCTCCTGAAAAGGATATTCCCTAGCTCCTTCAATCTGATCTATCAGCCTACTACTATTTCAGCTTCCTTCTGTGCATAATTTAGAGCCAACTGGGCCTGGAGTCAGAAAGTCCTGAGTTCAAATTCAACCTCAGATGCTTACTAGATGGATGAACTTGAGCAAGTTACTTAATATCTGTTTGTCTCAGTTTCCTCCACTGTAAAATAGGGTCTTGTCATGAATATCAAATGAGATAATTTTTGTAAAGTGCTTAGTACAGTGCCAGGCACATAGTAGGTGCTATATAAGTGCTATTTGTTATTATTATTATTATTTCTAGCCATAGTCTTCAGCTTAAGTGCTATCTTCAGAGCCACCGACTCAATTCAGTTCTTCATTTACTGAAGGTGTTGGGATTAGCATATTCTCCTCAGCAGGAAGGACTACACCTCATTCTTCTTAGTCAACCAAGTTTGCCAATAGCTATGAAGTTTTTTTATTTGTTTTTGTTTTCTGCTCAGATCCTCAGTCCATCGTCAATCTGGATACTCTCTTTTTTTTTACCCAGACTGCCACAGAAGGGACAAGCGCCTAGGCTGAAAGGAAGTTTGCCTTCAAACTCTTTTAAGTGATTCTCTTTTATTCTCTGAGCTTTACTGCTGACTTCTGGCTTTCCTGGGTCTCTCAATTCAGTTGTCACCTAATATGGTCAAAAACCCATTTCAGTTCTTAGGTTTCTGTAGGATTAAGCTGAGGTAAGTTTCTCCAGGGGTCTAGCTCCTCAAGAGAGAAAGGATTGAGAAACACTTTGGTGAAGATCAAACTGTTTTACCCCACCAGCTCTTCTGTTCTGTGTAAAGCAGAAATGGCTAGATTGGCTAGTGACATCTAAAAGACTGTTGACTCTTGTCTTTTCCCTTGACCTCTTTCTCTGGCCTTTTTATACTTGTATACAGAGTTTTTTGTCTCCCTTGTTAGACTATAGGTTTTTATTTTTATCTACCACAGTACCTAGCACAGAAACTCATAGGTTCATAAAATCTTTTATCATCTAGTCTGTTGGCTACCAACACTTTTTAGTATGGATATATTCCTTTTCAACATTAAAAAAAAAAGGTTCCTGGACCTAGGGGTGATTGCTGTACTATTTAGTATCCAATGATTGAGAAATTACATAACAAAACGCTATTATAAATTCAGTAATGCTTTTTAAGTGAACTTGTATTTTATTAATCACATATACATACATCTGAAAAATAGGAATCCAAATGTGACATTATTCAGTCTATAAAAACTATGCCTACTTATTATACTGGAGTCATTTAATGAGATAGACCCTCTACAGTAATAACATCCCATAGGTTGAGAACTACTACATCTAGTCTGTTTTTCACTTAAGTACACCTTAAATGTTTGTCACAGATAGAGCAAGGAATTCTTCATCTGTATGTTACCTAATTTGTAACAGTCTTTAAAATAAAAGCTAGAAATCAAAAGCTGAACTTATCAAACAGATAGAAAGGTTCTTAGATCCAGAGAGAATGTTAGATCACATAAATTCTCTGGGTCTCAGCTTTCTCATCTGTAAGATCTAGTTCTTAAGGCCTTTGGAACTCTTCTAGTTTTAGAAAACTACCTGTTGATATTCATGTGCACAAAAATTCTTTCTTTTAAAAATCTCCAATATTTCTGGAATAGCATATACCAGGGTTTCACAGTCCCTTTTACCCTCTGAGGCTTTTGCCACTTTTGAGAAGCCCATTTTATTTTTAAGGATTATATGTGGTACAACAGCTCAGTGCTGCACGATGAGACATGGGCTGGGAGGGGGACTTTTCAGTTTTTCAAAGCCCAAGATGAACAATGTCAGCTTCAATCCCAAGAGGACTTTTCTAACCGACCTTAGAGTGCTACCCCTAGCAATGTTGCTAAAGAGCTGGAGAAAGTAAATAGGAGGGCAATTTGGGGCATAGGCAAACAGAGAGGGGGCATAACTCCAAAGTCCCAGAGTGGTTCCAGAACTTCCTACTGCAGATTACATTTTCACTGAATTAACAGAGTTCACTGGGAGCAGAGGGTGGGAAAGTGAAGAAAAGGTGTGTGCTTGCTAGACTGCAGCTTTTGTCCTTCTCCTTTGCTGGCGCCTGAGCCTGGGGTAGGTTCAGTAGGTAAGATAAAATTGAACAGGGCCCTCAGACTTCAATCTCGGAGCCAGCCTCCCTTATGGCACCACAGTCTTTGCCAGGTCGGTGAGAGGGCAGCGTGCAGTATGCTTTCAAGGGCCCAGCTTTGAACACCAGGCAATCTCGTTGGGAGTAGGGAGGTATGGACAAAAATGGTTTTATTCGTTTTAAGGGACACATACACACTACATAGTTTTAAAACACACGCATGGAGAAATGGTTTTGACTTAAAATACGAATATGCAGGAAACGTACACACGAGGTGAGGGTCTAGGGTCCTTTGGAGTTGGGAGACCCGGGTTCAAACCCTGTTTTTGCAGTCGGGGGACCCGGATTCAAACCTTGGCTTTGGAGTGGGAGGAGCCAGGTTCAACTCCTGGTTTTGGAATCGTGAGGCCAGAGTTCAAATCTTTCCTCTGCACCTTACTACTATGGGTGATTTTAGGCAAATCACTTAAATTTCCCTGGGTCTCAGTTTCCTCATCTGTAAAATGACGAAGTTGGAGGAGATGACCTCTAAGGTGCTTTCCAACTCTAAATCTACGGTTCTTATGGTCAGGCCTGGGCTTTAAGAGGGGAAACACTTCTCCGTCCTTGCCCCTTGCCCCCGACTGGGATGGAGAACTTAAAAGTTCTCAATACATCATTCCCCTTCCGTCTCCCCCCCAACCCCCCCTCCCAGTTCTCCCTCGCAGAGACGCCCACGCAAGCCCCAACCCAGCTCCCCATCCCAATCCCGCAGGAAGTCAGCAGGGGCAGGGGCGAGGATTTTCTTGGAGGAGGAGGAGCCTGGCCAGCCTTGTGGGCGTGGCCATATATTTCCCCGCCCCCGGGCGGTCGGAAGGCGGGGCGTTGCTGGGGCTGTGTCGGGGAGTCTCGGCCCTTGGGTGGAATAGAGTGAAGTGCCAGTGAGACTCGAGGAGCCGCTTCCACGCTCCCCCGCCGCTGCCGCTGCGCCTTCCTTCTCCGCACAGTGTCTCGGGAGCAGAGAGAAAGGATTCTGGTCGGGGAGCCCGAGCGCAGGGGTCGGAAGCTCAACATGATGGACTTGGAGCTACCCCCGTCGCAACAGGTGCTGCTGCCGGCACCTCCGGGACCGGCGAAGGGGGGGGGAGAGACAGACGTCACGCACACGGGGGCTGGGCGGGGGGGGGGGGGGAGGGGGCGGCACGCCTGCGGGAGCCGGGGCGGGGGGGGGGGCGACGAGGAACAACGTCCTTCCCTCTCTCTTCTCTGGACAGTCCATCGGCGAGAGGGGACAGCGGGTAGGGCCGGGGTCGCGGAGGAGTCTGGGACTAAAGGAAAAATAACTCAACACCCGCCTCCCTCATTCTCGGGAGAGAATGGAGGGGGAGGGGTTGAGGATGGCGCCCAAGGGGGATGAAGAGGGGAAGCCCCCAGGAAGCAGTGGATGCCGGGGGCGGGAGACTGGCAGCTCCCCCCGGCTCTGCCTGTCACGAGTGTGTCGCCGGCCCCCGTGCGCCCGGGCTCCTTTCCTGCGGGAGGAGGAAGAGGAGGTGCGGGAGGGGGCGGGGATTCCCAGCTCCGGAGGGGAAGGGGTGTGGGGTGACAACAGCTGTTCCCGCCCCGGCGGGCTCTTCCGGGAGCCCTTGCTCAGGTCGCCGCACTGCGGCTGCGCGGGTGCGGTTGTGGGGTGAGGAGGCGTCGCCGATCCCTTCCATCGGCCCGGTGGAAGGTGGTGGGGGTCTGGTTGTCAGGGGAGGAGAAGCTCCCTGGGCGCCTCCGGGGCCTGCTCGGGCTTCTGGCTTCTTTCGTCCCTTCACCCTTCCATTCCTGAGCTGCTCTCCCTGGCCTTGAAACCAGCGTGCTTGGTCACCAGGGGGAGGATGAGGTATGAGCAGGACTCGGACCCTTCTGGTCCTCGAGGAGTGGACGAGCCCCCCTGGTGCGGGGCGCCCGCCTAACTTGAGAGCGTAGGCTCCATGGAGATCCCTGTCCGCAGCCTTCCCCCCCGCCCCCGGCCCTCCACTTCTGCTTCTTGGAGCCAGAGAGGGGAAAGGCTTGTTTTGCCCCATGCTCACCCCTCCCGCTAGTAATTTCTAGGTTACGGAGAAAAACGAATTTTTAAAAGACTCAAGTTAGCTTTGTGCTTGTAGAGTGACCTAGATCGCCCCGAGAGACCATGAAGCCGTCAGAAAGCTCAATAATGTGTCCCTAACTGACGTGGTACCCAGGCGTGGGCCACCATAGAAGATAGAGCACGGCTTGGATTCTGCATCTGATGAAGCTCAGAAGAGCCATTTGCCGCTTATCGTCGGAAAGAGAATTGGGAATTCTGAGTTCAGTTTATCTTGCCTCTCACCCCTTCCCCCCTTTCCTCCTCTTCTACAAAACTTGGGAATGTTGGAAATGTTATGTATTCTTCAAATCGCAGGCATCCCAACACCCCAGCTCCAGTATTTTAAAATTTATACTTCTTTCTTGCCTCGGTGGAGCTTATCTGAATGCATTTTTCTAGCTTCAGTGAAAGTTATCTGTTGTTTGTCACGGCCGCCCTAGATTGGCCCCTTTCTGCTTTATAGCGTGCCAGTCTTTACAGTGCTGAAGGCCAGGGACAAGTTGGAGCTGTGGATCTGTTGCGCAATTGTTATTTTCCCCAGGGCTGCTTTGTCTTTGGATTAAGTTTTTCATATTGTAATTCTAATACCTGTAAGGCAGAATATGCTAACTTTTGTTCTGGCAAGGGATGCAAGTGTAGAATCGAATTTTTTTTTTTATAAAATGAGGTTTGTGTTTAAACATTAAAAATTCTACTCAAAACTACTTATCTAGTTTTCTTTACCTTGAGTCTTTTCCCGCCTACTCCCCCCACTTCCTGTTACAGAATTTTTCTGTTTATTTTCATTCTGCCTTTTTTGTAAGGACAGATGATGGGATACTTGTGTTTCATAGTGATATTTTGCTAGCAAGTTCTGTAGTCTGAGTTGGAAGGATCTGGAAGTAAGTTCCTTTATCACTACAAATCATAGCGTATTTTAAAAGTGACAGAAAAGTGAAAAGATTATTAAAGTTTTCCTCGTTTTTGTTGGAAGTTTTAAAAAAAATTATTTCAAAGAAATTTTTAATTTGATCTTGACCATTAGGTATTGAATACCTTTTTGTTTGAAAGCTGTTATCAAATCTTGGTACACTAAAGAGTTTGCTTTTCACCATGCTTTTTGGGTATAGATTCAGGACATTATAGGTCCCTATGAAGTTGTACAGTCTTGGACTGTTCTCTAAAAATGATTTTGGTTTTGTGGCCTATTAGCTTACTATTATAAAGATAAATGTACTGTTGGGTTCAGTTATGGCCAAAACAGACTGTGAGATGCTTCTTTGAAAATATGCAAAATACTATTGAAGATGCATTTTTGGAGATGGAAAATATTTTGGAGAATAGCATTCAAATGTGCCCTAAAATTTCATGCTTGAGAAAACAAAACAAAACATGGTGAAAGGACTTAAAACAAAATGGTAAAATTTTATCACTAAAGCATCACTTTGAAGTCAATTGAAAAATGAAATGAGGCTCCAGAGCCAATATTGGAAAAAAAAAGTAGAATAAATTAAGATATTGATATTCTTATAATACTTGCTAAATATCACCAAAGGAATAAAAAGGTTCTTGGCCTTCTGAAGCCTCTTTTTTAAAACATGAAATTTATTAAGATCAAGTGAGATAACATTTGTAAAAAGCGTTCAGCACAATGCTTGGCACACAGTAGACCCTATATAAATGCTTATTTCTTTTCTTTCTCTGTTCCCTTTGTGATATCATACTGGAAGGTATTCTGTCACCCTCTTTACATAGGAGAGAGAGTAGAAGGAGATCTAGAAGGAGAACAGTACAATTTGATTTTCCCACACCTATCATAGAAACTTTACATTTATTCTCTTGTACACTGTGCTGCGGATGAGAGATGCAATTACTTTTTTCACTACAGTAATGAGAGTGTCGAGTATAAAAAGAAAAGTGAGAGGAAAAATCAGCCATCTCTTGATATAGAGAGCAACTAGACATTTTAGTTGTATGAAGCATCTTGAGATATTTTGAAAACACCTTGTAGGAGGACATGTACAACCCCCCTCAGTATTTTCATAGCAAAAATAGGCTTTTTTGAGCTATGCCCCATAAACTTGAATTTTCCTAGACAATGAGAACATTCATTCTCTGTGAATAACAAAAAGTTAACTTGAGACTAATTATATATGGTTTCCTTAATATTAATCTATTTTTATTCAAGATAATTTATGGACAGACCTCCCTATGGGCATTGTTGAAGAGCAGAAGGCATTTATTTTTCTAATGCCTGAAAGTAACACAAGGAGGTTTGGGAAAAATCTCAGGGTTTTTTTTTTTCCTTCTTTTTCTTCGTTCTGGACTCTCTTAACTGTCGTTATCCACACTTTGATGCAGAGAAAAGGGCTGCTTGTGTACTAGAAATAAATTTGACTCTGAGAGGAAAATGTCATATTTTAATAAAAAGTGGGTAAACTGAGGAAAACTAAAGAATTTAATTTTTTTTGTTTTTTACTATTATCTAGTCTCTAAGAAATATATTTGTACCTTAATGTGTATGTGATGATGACTAAATTTGAGTTATCAGTCAAAAGGGAAATTAATTGGCATAAGTAAAACAATTACCTATTTGGTACTTCTGAGCTAAGGAAAAGCTAAAGCCTTAAGAAGTCTTTAGGCTAATTAACTAGTTGAAGTTTATATTGTCTTTAGAAATACCATATTCAAAATAAAATAACTATCCTTTTTTTTTCCTTGAAAACTTGTGATATTCTAAGTTATTGATGCATTTGTTGGGATTTCAGAGTATAGTCAACCTCATTGAACTAAACACAAGTGTCTCGTCAGCAGATTTCAGAAATTTGTGTTTGGTCCAGCAGGTTATGGAAATTTTGAGGAAGTTTTATGGATTTTATCAGATATTGAGTAATTGAACTGATAGTGATATGTTTTAAAATTTTTATCTAAAGCTGGGAAAATGTTAGAAATATACAATTTGTATTTTAAAATATATATGATTCTCTTAAGATGAAGAGCAGGAAAACAAAAAGCTTAGTACAACACTTATTGAATTAATCCGTCCTCACTCCAGAGTTAAGAGAATTTTTCTGTTTGAGAGCCACTGACACAATCAACACTTTAAATCCTAGAATTAAGTCTGAGAATGGAAAGTGTGCTATCAGAGAACACATTTTTTACTCCAGATACGGCAGGACTGCTAACTGCTGAGTGTGGTTCTGTTTGGGTTTATTTGAACTCTGATACTGTAAACAACAACACTAAGGCTAGAAGTAAGATAGAATATGGAGAGTCAAGTCCATCTTTTATTGGACAGTGTTAATAAGTGACTCTTGAAAGCCATTATAATTTAGCATATCAGCATAGTCTGAAGGGTTTTTTAAAAGTCTGTAAATCCTTAGCTTTTTTTTTTCTTACAAGCTTAGAAACTGTGACTTTTGGACTGTGATATCAGTAATACACTGATGTTTAACGTCCTTTTTTTTCAGGCCAGATAAGAAGGGAAGTCATTCAGCTAGATGGAGAAATATTTGCCCTGTCTGATTGATAGTTGTATCTTCATTCATGGTTTTTTACTACTCATTTGACAGTTAGCTATGTCCTATTGTTTGACCATTTTTGTGTATTTATGCCCTATTTATTTATTTCCTTGTTTCTTTATTTATTCTTTATCTCACCAGCTAGACTGTAAACTTCTTGAGTCATTCTCATTCTTTGTATCCCCTGCAGTGCCTACTTGTATAATGAGTATTTGTGAAGATGGATCTAAGCCTTTTGGTTAGGTGGCCTTCATTCTGTCATTTTAGGTGATCTGTTTATCTGTGGACAGTTGACTGAAATGGACTTTTTTATACTGTTTCAAGGTGACATTTCTGAAATTCAATAAATAATAGTTGATGGAGCCCCTTCTAGAAGCTTGAGCAACATCTGTGTCATCAAAGGCCTTTTCTTTGTTTGCATTAGGAAATTTTTCTGTTCATTTGGAATGTGGACTTGACCACAATAGTAACGTAAAGGTTGAATTAGGGCTAACTCAGAAAAATTCATTTAGTACAGAATGCTTAGGAATCAGGATTATGGATGAGTATTACATAATGACTTACAGTTTATTTCTCTCTGAGAGGCAGTGTTGGGAGTCCAGTAGAAAGAGCACAGGCATCAAGAAATCTGATTCTAATTGCAGCTCTGCCCTTGACTAGTTGTGTGACCTTGGGCAAATCATCCAACCTTTCTGGGCCTTGGTTTCTGTGACTGACTTGTAAAGACCTGCTTGACAACTGAAGTAATATTTTGTGCTTATGGTAATGGGTTTCTGTACATATATGTGAGGGAACTAGTGACAGGGCCTGAATTTTGTAATTGTTTACTGATTTTGTAGAACTTCCCCACTGTGTAGACTTCTGAGGTGTGGGATTAGGCCTATCTTTTTTAAGATTAGTTTACACAATAGTAAATCACTGCAGCACTGCTAATAGATTAGGGAGTAGCTATGTTCCCTGTACCTCCCATTTCTTACAGGCTCCCCACCCTATGTTGGTACAGAGCTTGTACTGTATAACCAAAATGGTATATACAGTTGTTGTGCCCTAACTGCAGATCTGGTATTGCCTCTTTCTTTTGGATATATGCACGTTTATTGAGTGTTCAATAGAAGTAACTTTCAAATTATTTTTTCCTATCAGCCTTTAGTAATTTGATGTTGGCTTTTAGCCATTTTTCCTAATACTGAGTAGTTGTTTTGGGGGGTTTTTTTTGGTGGGGTGGTGGTGAGGCAATCGGGGTTAAGTGACTTGCCCAGTGTCACACAGCTAGTAAGTGTCCAGTGTCTGAGGCCAAATTTGAACTCAGGTCCTCCTGCCTCCAAGGCCAGAACTCTATCCACTGTGCCACCTAGCTGCCCTCTGAGTGTTTGTTTTTTTTTAAATCACTCTTTGGCTGGAAAATAAATGTACTGCTACTGAGTAAGGTATGTGTTTTAAAAGATTAAGGAATCTAAAATAGAATGACATTTGGGGAATTTGGAATTTTAATTATATCTTTCATATAGGATTCCTTTCCTTCCTAATAGGAACATACTTGAATTCATGTTTTTGTTAAAAAAAAAAAAAAATGAATGAATAAAAATTCAGAGAATTATGTGAGGAAAGAAATGACAAGACTGTTGTGATTAACTCATCTTTACCTCTATGTTGGATATCCAGTTCAATTTCATTAAGTTTAACTGAAATTTATTAATTGCCTGCTATGCACAAGGCACTGGGGATATAGTGACAAAAATTAAAAACTACCTCTGCTCTTACTCTACTGAATAAGATACAACATATAAACATAAAAGCACTTAGCACAGTGGTTGGCACATAGGTGCTTAATAAATGTTTAATTGATGGATTGAAAAGCAAATGCAAAATAATTTGAGGAAAGAGAGTAAAATACTAACAACAGGAGGATCCCGGAAGACTTCTGTCTTCCTATCTGATGAGATAGCACCTGAGTTGAACTTTGAGGAAGTCTTATAACTTGGGTTCTAAAAGACAGAGATAAGGATTTTTTTAATGACATAGGATTAAATATTAAAATATTCCTGTCTCAAGAAATTAACTGGGAGAAAAAAGAAACGGAGCCTGCCTGACTTCTTTGTTTCCAGGGTTTGTCTTTCTAGTCTTGGATCCTTATGTAACCCTCTGCTGTGGGATGCTCTACCAAATTGCCTAGATTATCCTAAAACTCCTAACTATTGCTTTGA